TATGATCCACACAGTCAATGTACAACACAACAAGAACATCTTATTATAAAAATATTTATATATGAAGTAAATAGGGGATCTCTGATGATGATCTAGTGTTTAAAGAGTTGTGCTGCCAACTCCAATTCTGGTTGTTAGAATCCATTAACTGAATCTCCTCCCATATGATTTATAGCTTCTGCAGAACTGCACGATTCCCACCTCTGAGTAAGTTCGAATCAGTCAGCAATGAGTGAGTGGGTGGTATATTAAATGTATTCATTTCTATACATGTGTAGTTGCTCTCAGTTGCTATCATGTCTGTTCCAACCTACAATAACCCAGTGTGAGCAGAGCAGATCTGCTTCAAAAGATTTTCAGTAAATGTTGGAGATTTTCAAACCTGTGACCTTTTAGAAGCAGGTCTTTCTTCCAAGGTACCACAGAGTGTGTTAGATCTGCCAACCTTTTGGTTCGCAAGCAAACATTTAACTTTTTCTTTTTTTTTCAGGGTTTCAAGTCATTCATTGTTGCACTTTTCTCCCTGTCCACCCCCTTGCCCCCGAATTCACTCTTTTCCTTGAAAAGAAAAAGGAAAACTATTTCACTGTTATGCAATCCCTCCACCCAAATCCACTCCACTATGCAACCTTCACTCTGGACTTCTGTAATGACAAGAGCACCCATTCATAAATCCTTTTTAAACAGTTCTCCCTCATCTGTTTCAATGCAAACACTTAACTGTTTGCACCACTCAGAGTTTCCTTCTCTTCTATGTAACCCATCATCATTGAGTCAATTCTAATTATTTTCCCCCACAATTTCTAATACTTTAAAACAACATCTATGAAAATTGTATTTTTTACTACCAACTAGATGAGTCGACAATATTGACTATTTTTACATTTATTTTCTCTGAAAATTATGTCACACAAGTAGGAAGCTCTGTGGCTTAGTAGGAAGGAGTGTATCACCAATACAAAGGCACACAGTTCAAATCCACCAATAGCTCTATCGGACAAAGATGGACAATTTCCTCTCATGCAATTTACTGCCTCTGAAAACTCTCTGGAATGCCAGCACAGAGTACATATTCAATGGATATTTACTATATAAATGAAGGAGGATGTGCAGTAAATCACATAAAAAGGCAAGGTTCTGCTGCTTTTACAAGAAGTTCTTCTGAATATACTTTTCTTCGGGTGCAAGAAAAACCTCTATTGTGTTTTGGCAGGTTTCTTCCTTCCCAGAAAGAAGGGACCTGCAGAAACACGTTGTAAGGAAAACTTGGTGCTTCCACAGAATTTGTTGATCCCTTACCTGGTATCCTGAATGGTAGAAACGTCTTTATTTAGGGAAGCAAGTTTGTTTTTCAAAATCCACAAAATTGAGAAATAGAAGACCAAGTTTATCTGTGGGAACAGAATGAAAAAATCAACATAGAATTTTCTTTTAAGGGCATGATTTATCATCTAAGTTGACATTTTCACCTCTCACTTACAGTGTGTTGTACTGTGGCAGTTTCAGTGTTGTTGTGAGCTATACCTCCAGTATTTGAGGGTCAACTGTGGAGAATAGATTTCAGCAGAGCCTCCTAGTTAAGACAAACTAGAAGACAGATCTGGTGATAGGCTTCTGAAAATCAGGCAATGAAAACCCTGTGGTTTTCTACAGAACACTGTCTAATATAATGTCTAGAGACAAGCTCCTCAGGTTGGAAAATCCTCAAATACATAGTGGCCACGATAATGGCTTTGAGTTGGCCATTATTTTAATTCAAATGGAACTAGATTTGCCAAGGGATTGAATGTTGCCTGAGACAGAATGCGCAGAGTCCAGATGACCTCAGGTTAGCAAATTAAGGACTGAGAAAGAAGATCGTTCTGTTGAATTAGTGAAAGAAAGAGTAACTTGGAAGAACAACTCAAATCAAGAGTTTTATTTTATACAAGCTTAGATGCCTCTTAGGGAGCTCTGGTGGCCTAGAGATAAGAAGCTGTGCAGCCATCCCAAAGGCATGTGGTTCAAATCCACGAGCTGCTCTGTGAGAGAAGGATGAGCTGTCTCCTCCTGTGCTATTTACTGCCTCTGAAAACCCACTAGAGGATCAGCTGTGAGTCAGTTCTGGCTCAATAGCACACTACCACCACCACAAAATGCCTCTGGAATAGACAAGTTTAGATGTCAGGTTGTTGAATTTGAAAGCTGCTTTTGAATGGGTCCCAAATTCATGATGACTCCATGTGTGAAGTGGATAAATGTCGCTCAATACCACACAACTCCCAGGATAGGTTGCAAACAAGACCATTGTGATTGTTTGAGCTTTCATTGGTTGGCTTCTGGAGGCAGATCTTCAGGAAATGTCCTAGTCAATCTTTACCTGGAAGCTTTGTAGAAACCTGTTCGGTGTTGTAGCAACGTGCAAGGCTCCACTGAGAGACGGGTCGTGGTTTCATATGAGGTGTACTAGTGTGACTTGGAATTCTTGAGTGGAATATGAGAATTTTACCGTTGAACCATT